CAATCCCTAGCGTTCTGTGATTCTGTGATTCAGTTCTATCTTGTAATATCAGAAGGAAAATCAGAAACTATCTGTATGTGGTGTTTTTTATTCTGGCGGCAAAATCCAGAGATATGCAAGGTCTAATTCTTCCCCTTCTAGTCCTTCCAAGTGATAAAATCTGATCAGGTAGCACGATGCTATTCGGTGAACCAGGATGGGAGAAAAATGAATTTATGGTCAGATGTGACCTCAAAGCACTAATAACGCCTTGCAAAGTCTTACTTCAAGACCTCATTCCTCTTTTCAAAGTTTAGGTTGTCACAGACTTCCTGGTCTGGGGTAGAAGGTAGAAGTTCAGTCTCATTCCCGAGAAATCTGGTAGTGAATGCCCAGGATACAGAAAGCAGCTATAGAAGCATGACCAGATAATCTATCTATCTATCTATCTATCTATCTATCTATCTATCTATCTATCCATCTATCTATCTATCTATCTATCTATCTATCTATCTCAGAATTATGAAGTTGAAATGTGTATTGCTTTTGGCTTATATATAGCTATTTTTAAAAAGTATTTATTTTTTAATGTATAATGAGAAAGGCAATGGACACTAGGCCAGCCTAAAGCCTCTGTGTTCTTTTCTTTGGAAGAGGGAAGAAGTCATGTTAGAGCTGCTAGTGTCAAGTTTGTATTTGAAGGGGGAGAATCTACATTTTCTATGCGGCTGAAAAAATCTCACCTGGAAAAAAACCAAACAAACCAACAATCCAAAAAATCCCAAACACAACACAAAAAAAAACCAGCGAAGACATGAACTCAAAACCTCAGCGTCCCAGTAAATAAGGAACTGCTGTCACTCAGACATTATTAAAGCCACCCATCCTAATCCCCTGCATTCTAGTCATCACTCAGCATTTCACCTGCAGCTAAGAAGAGATCAGAGATATGACACTTATATGTTACTCCCCACCAGGCATAATGTGTAAGTAAAAGCATCAGCTTCTCTTTGCTCTCAGTGGATTGCAGTCAGTGGGAGCTTCATTTTCAGCACAGTCTGCCTGTAAAAGGGCATCTTTCACTGAAGAACTTCTCCTTTCTTGTATTTTTCTTTTAAATGTAGTGGAAACTTCCCACTTTGAGGTAGATAACATTACACAAAGAACCTAAAGAAACAGTTACCACCATGAAACTGAAAATGTTACCTATTATTTGATCAATATTTCCTACTGCTGCCATGAAATTGGACTGCCAGGGATCCAGGGATTTTTTAGAGACGTGTCAAGACCCTGAAGTGCTTCTCGCATTCATAAATGGAGACATAAAGAAGGGCTTCTGTCCGGGTACTTTGTTCTTTATGGGACTGGCTATGTCACGTTCACATTGTAGGGAAAAGGGGGACAGACAGCTGCTTTTTCTAATTGCTTCTGTCTAGAACATCTGCCTGAATGGTCAGGGGGTACAAGGGACCTACTGGAACACTTCTCGTGAGGAATGCCAACCGGGAGGCTGGTGCAGGTGGAGATATTTGAAATGGGAGCCTGCTACTGGCAGAGCACAGGAAAGGAAGGTCGGGCAGGTGAGAGGCAAAGCTGGTGGCAAAAAGCAGAGTGGCCTCCACCCGCGTCTGTGGCTGCCAGTGACTGCTCAGGATATTATAACCCCAGGGAGGTCAGGCACTTCTATACATGGCTGCAGAAGATCTGGAAAGCCACTGCTGCCACCTGCTGTGACATTTCACTTTTAAACACACAAACTCCAGCCCTGAGTAATGCTCCTGCCTTAAAAAAGCTCAGGCTTTTCCCATCGGATTTGCCTACTAGGGTTAGGAAAAAATAAGATTGTTCTGCAGGTTTTAACCTTATTTAGTGGTGGTGATCCCACACGCTGTACTAACCACCCAGAAGAATTTCCCAGGACGTGGTGAAGACCACAGCAAACCACTTCCTACCCACTGCTCGTGGTTGGTGGTATCACCTTAATCTCCACTGCTTTTGTTTGCCTGTGGTGTAGAGCATATGACAAAGAAGGTAAGGAAGGATCAGCATAAGGGATCCTACACCCAAATAAAGTGAAACGCTTAATTTCCTAGTTCTTTTGCTTATTATTAAATCCAAAGTTATTTCACATTTGTCCAGGTTAATTTTTCAGAATTACAGGTCCATGAAAAAGCTTTTAAATTCTCCTCAGAAGGCAGTTTAACAGTGCTCAAGTTGTGTGTGCAAAGTCGAAACTCCACTTTCAAACCAACCCTCTGTAAGATTGCTTCTATTCTGAAGTGATTGAAAAAGTGGCACCTTTTTTGCTCAAGTGACCACTTTTTGATGATTTCTTGAGATCAAAGAGTAAGTAGCTGCTTAAAGTGCTGTGACACATTTGAAGCACAGCATGATCATAGAATCATAGAATGATTTAGGTTGGAAGGGACCTTAAAGCGCATCCAGTCCAACCCCCTGCCATGGGCAGGGACACCTCCCACCAGACCAGGTTGCCCAAAGCCCTGTCCAGTTTGCCCTTGAAAACTTCCAGGGAGGGGGCATCCACAACTTCCCTGGGCAACCTGTGTCAGTGTCTCACCACCCTCACAGTAAAGAATTTCTTCCTAATGTCCAGTCTAAATCTACCCTCTTCCAGATTAAAGCCATTCCCCCCTTGCTGTGTCGCTACCTGCCTTTGTAAAAAGTCCCTCCCCAGCTTTCCTGTAGGCCCCCTTCATGAACTGGAAGGCCACAATAAGGTCTCCCCGGAGCCTTCTCTTCTCCAGGCTGAACAACCTGCAACTCTCTCAGTCGGTCTTCATAGGTGAGGTGCTCCAGCCCCTGATCATCTTTGTGGAACTCCGCTGGACTCGCACCAACAGCTCCATGTCCTTATACTTGGGGCCCCAGAACTCGATGCACTACACCAGGTGGGGTCTCATCAGAGTAGAGGGGCAGAATAACCTCCCTCGCCCTGCTGGCCACACTTCTTTTGATGCAGCCCAGGGTGCAGTTGGCCTTCTGGGCTGCAAGCGCACATTGGTGGCTCATGTTGAGGTTTTAATCAACTGACACCCCCAAGTCCTTCTCCTCAGGGCAGCTCTCAATCCATTCTCCACCCAGCCTGTATTTGTGCTTGGGATTGCCCCTGCAAAGGTGCAGGACCTTGCACTTGGCCTTGTTAAACTTCATGAGGTTGGCATGGGCCCACCTCTCCAGCCTGTCCAGGTCCCTCTGGGTGGCATCCCTTCCTTCCAGCGTGTCAACTGCACCACCCAGCTTGGTGTCATCCGCAAACTTGCTGAGGGTGCACTCAATTCCACTGTCCATGTTGCTGACAAAGATGCTGAACAGTACCAGTCCCAGTACCAATCCCTGGGGAACTTCACTCATCACTGGTCTCCATTTGGACATTGAGCCATTGACTGCAACTCTGAGTGTGACCATCCAGCCAGTTCCTTATCCAGCGAGTGGTCCATCCATCAAATCCACGTTTCTCCACTTTTGTGACCAGTATGTCATGTGGCGCAGTGTCGAACGCTTTGCACAAGTCCAGGTACAGGATATCAGTGCTCTTCCCTTACCTACCAAAGCTGTAACTCTGTCATAAAAGGTCACCAAATTGGTGAGGCACGATTTGACCTTGGTGAAGCTGTGTTGGTTACCACCGATCACCACATCCTCGTTCCTCCTGTGCCTTAGGAGAGCCTTCAGGAGGATCTGCTCCATGATCTTGCCAGGCACAGAAATGAGACTGACTGGCTGATAGTTTCCTGGGTCTTCCTTTTTCCCTTTTTTGAAAATGGGGGCTATGTTTCCCCTTTTCCAGTCATCAGGAACTTGCTAAACAAACTTTTTAGTGTTGAGAAAAATGTAAAGAAAGATTAAAATATACCATGTAGGTTCAGTCTAGGGATGAGTGAGTTGATGAGGACAGTCTTCAGATACATAATAGACTGGCATAAAAAGAATGGTGATGAGTTACTCTCTGTGGAATTGGCCTGGTCCTTTCAGGTTAATCCAGTATGTTTGGGGAATAGCTAGAGCAACAGTGAAATGCTACAGGAAGCAACTTAAGCTGTGGAATCTGCCATATGGGAGGCTTTTGAACAACAGGAGGACAAACACTGGTTAAGAAAGGTTCTGAAATACTTGATGTGCTTCAGAAAAAGGGAAATGGAATAAACGGCTTCTACAGTTTCACGACAATCGTGTTTGATTCTACAGTCAGGATGAATAACAGTGAAGCTTGCATGAAGTCACTACATTTTTTGAAGCAAGTTAAACTTACAGGAAGATAAAATTATTAAAACAAACCATGTAGATTTGCAGCTTAAATTTGATAAAATAATTCAAGTAACCTGATCTTTAAGTGCTAACATTGCTATTCCATGTAAAACTGCAACTGCTATTTCCATACTTTTCTGAAGAGAAGTTACTAATAAACCGATATCAAAATAATTTGCTTTATTGCTAGTTATTTTATATTACAATTTGGACTAAGTTCTGTTTGTCTATTAGTCTTTAATGGAAAGCAAAAGAAAACACATAGTAAAACCAAATAAACAAAACCAAAACTCTAAAGTTATTAATGACAATGTAAACTCACTTTCAAAAGTCCTGGTATTTTATGACTGACTTCCTGACCACTGTAATTCCAAACCAGAGTATTTTATTTCCACTTGTCACCAAAATACCTATTCATTTTCAGAGTAGAGTAAAACCTCACAGAGGAAACAAGTATTAAAAAATGTGCATATGACTTATTTCACAATTAGTGTTCAGATGCTTATTGCATTCTGGAGGCAACTCACTAGAGTCATAAATATAAAAATATAGAATCTTCTTTATTAACGAGGTATGCATTTGTTCAGATCAGGTCTCTTGGGATACAGCCTTCTATTTGGATTTCAGCTGGCCAGCCACTGTATCTATTCTTCTTCTTGTCAGAGTGGTTTATCTGTTAAAAAATATAGTAGGAAAAAAAACCTGGTATTTGGTTCACCATTTACAAACTAGTTTGTCAAACTTCATACAACAGAGGGAGGCAGTGGAATAGGACGGGGAAGCTAAGTAACATGGTGCACATCTTGCTCAAGATAATGGATGAAGGTTCCAACAGTTTCTCTCTTAGACCAAGTGCTTTATTTATTTCCCAGATGGCTGTTGTAATATAAACTAAATTGAATACCTTATTCCTGCAGAAGCTGTGCAAAGTAAAGAAAATTGCAACAACATTCTGGGGAAAAAAACTCAACCTACGGAAGTTTCACATGCCTTTGGAAGGAGTCAGCATCATCAAGGGAACTGACCTCTGTATTAGGTTTTCTCATTTTTCTCTGCCTCTGTCATACAGATGAGCATGACTGGGCTTATAAAAAGCAAATACAACAAGGTCACAGATGCAAACAGAAATCTGATTTTAAAATGGTATCTTTAGTCCTCCTGAAGCCTGACGGCAAGTTATTCAGGAAAGTTTTATGAACCAAGTATTGCTGTATTTGCACAGCCAATTCAAGGCAGCCCAATTTTAATATAAAAACACTCTTTATTTTCAGGAAGTCCTTGGAATTCATTCTTCCAGAAGAAAATGTAAGTCTCTGTACAGCATATCAAGTTGGACATTTCAAAACTGAGACTCTCTAGAATTGCTGGTCACTTCCAAAATTTATCTTCAGCTGACTTAGTGCTGGTGTGGTAGAAGTCAGTACTGTACATGGCCCAGACCCAAAGCAAAGAATGATGACACATGAGAGAACTTGCTTTGTACAACTGGAGCTTACTCAACAGCCTACAGTTATCATAGCTAACCTGTGGAATCTGCACCTGAAGGTTACACCTGATATACAGACAAATATGAAGTGAAAATAAAATGAACCTGACCTTTTCTTTTTGGATATTATCTGGCAGCTTGAAGCCTTTGGCAGCTATAAAAGCCCAGCTTGACCTGAACTTCATATTCTGTATTTCTTTACTTCCCAGCTCTTCTATTAATTTTCTGGCATCTTCTTTCAACCTGGGAAAATTTAGTGAAAAAAGAAGCGTTAAAAATTCAGGACATGAAAAAACACAACTGATTTATGCTTTACATTGGTAGGTCAGCAGAAGCAACAATGAGAAGTTTAAAAAATCTTGAGAGCTGTCTTAGTAGCATGCCATTAAACTCACAGAGTAAAATTATTTTTCCTCCTCCTTTCTACATTCCTGATGTTAATACAAACTGTTTGTAACAGCATAGCAGAAAGAAAAAAGTACCTAAAATACTAGTTGATGTTTCAACCCTTCTTAAATAAGGACATGGGCATCAAATGTTTATCAACCAAATGATTAAGTCTTTCTCCACATAATTACCATGTAATGAATTCAAATGAAAAAAAACCCCAAAGTTCTGAAAGCACTTGAAGAGTCAGGTTAAGATGTAAGAAGGAATACTAACTACATACATTATAGTTGGAGTTGTGGATACTTTCTTAATTGAAGGTTGTGAGCCAGAGGTAACAGCAGCACCCTTTATGAGGACAACTGCTGCTTTTAAGCAAATACAACACTATCTATCCATCTTTGGAAGCATCAACATACAGGATATGGGCAAGCACTGAATGGACATGGAATCAAAACCTTTTAGGCAGGAAACAAGAGAATAATCCTGACCAGAGAGTGAAATTTACCATTCTGTTACACCACAACGCAATAGTGATTTTCAAGCTATTCACTGCTCTGTTTCTCATCCTGTCATGAGTAACTTGCTTACCGGGTGCTTCCATCATCGTGAGTCACCATCAAAAGGAGGGACCCTCTTGGTGCATTTTTAATGAAAGTCACCATCTCTCCCGAGTGCTCTGTTGAATCAATTACACAACTGATTATTCATTACACACATATCACACTCCATCTACTTTCAACTTGCTTTCACTTTTTGCCCTTGTCTACTCAAAATGAGACCTAATTAGGCAATTTTTCTGTTTACAGGCAGTGGTGCAGAAAGCTGCTAACTCTTACTGAAGGCTAGGAGAGCATGGATTGATCTGCATTTCCCAGTAGCAAACAAAGATACTTCTGAACTCCTACAAAAGATGTTTATGCTCAGGGTAAGGATATAGATGGTTTCTTATGTTTACCTCACATAATATTACACATGCAAGCAAAGTATGGAATAGCCCAGAAGTCACTGCTATTCTGTGAGCTTCCTACTACCATGCTAACTGCAGAGCTAGGCTACACACCCCACTGTACACCCACTTTCATTAAGTGGCAGCCTATTCACAGCACTAAGCTATTTATTGATTTTTGCAATTGCTGAACATATACAAGACCTTTGTTTTCCATTTAAAAAAAACTAACAGGAGCCCTGGAGACACTGCAGTCTACATATCACATATAAAATTGTAGCCCCATTATTAGTCCCAATGTGATTTCTATTCACGCATTTAAAGTCACAAACATTCTTAAGTGGTCAGAGATTCAGCTTCCAGTGCCTCACAGCATTCTGTTAGTCCTTACTAATAGGTAAGGGAACAATTATCGTTCAAAGTTTGGAAAATGTGTCAAAAGTTATTCTTAAAGAAGATCATCTTTCTAGCTACATGAAGGGATGTTAAGAGACAGACTACCATATTTCCTATGATGATTTTACAACTGAAATAGAACAAAATATGCTAGGAAAAGGAATTCTTATGAGTGAAGTATCTGGATGTAATACCTGGTAAAGTGTTATTCCTACCATACTGAAAAAATGGAGAAAAAAGGAAGTAAATTAAAAAATGACAAGTTTTTAAAAAGCAGCCAGGCAATTTAAAATAAAGACAATTAATTATCTCAATCAACAGAAGAAATCCAGCCTTTCAGGCAAAATTTGTCATCAGATTTGACCGGAGTATATGTTATAAAGACAACAGCTGTCTGTTTCTAGCTAATCCCCTTTGATAATATAATCATACCAATTTGAAAGAGCAGGATAATTATATAAAAATAAATCCTTTCTTAATGCCAAAACACTATCCAAAGCTCTATCACAGTCTTTTTCCCTACCTCCTTCCCACATGTCAAAATATTTTGCTGATGTAACTTTTCCTGTTTTATCTGTAATGAAAAAAAAAGTTGAATAAATATAAACAAAAACTGTTAAATTCACACACAGCATATACAGTGTTTTTGGCTAAAGCTAGGCATCTCTAATTTGTGTATCATTGTGCTTCTGAGTTTTCTTTTGTTTAGGTTTTTAAATTGGAAAGAATATCAAATAACGTAAGTTTAAGATTTGGGGAACATATTTCATTTCATGTAGTCTCTGAATCATCAAATGTGATGATCAAACATTTTTATTGAAGGAATTCAGTTTACTATGTGCTTCCATGTTTTTATATCTATATATACCATTCCAGGTCACAACCACAAGCTTTCATGCCATCCGAATCTCAGTGGACAGAAAAGCAACACTCATCATTACTATATCAGAAATTGGGCATGCAAACAACTAGTCATTCCAAAACATTTTGGTCAATATTCATCATTAATTATGCTGCTGTTTAGATGGCTATCTTTGTTTAAACAAGACATGTACAATTGGAAATACTTTTCAAATTTCTAAACCCACGCCAACTGAGCTAATTGATTTGCACTACCCAAGACCCGTATCTCTGCTACAGGAGAGGGTCTTTGCCATTTCGAGTGTGCCAGTTCCTTTCTAGTGAGAAGATTCAGCAGTTCCTGATTAATTTCTGGCTGATCTTTGATCCACATATGGTAAAATCATGAAGGCAAATTCCTTTGAACATAGGATTCTGAATGGGAGGTTTATCACACTGATGAAGGGAAAAGATGGCAAAAATCTGTCAGTGGTAAAACAGCACCCTAGGACTGGGCTGCTTCTGAGCAGAGATCATAAAAAACCAGAAAAGGCTGCAGTGAGTACCACAGAAATCCTTAAGAGTCTCTCTCTCCCTGTGTTGTTAACTTGGCCATAATAGTTCTGTCTTCCTTCTTATGAAAGACCATATTCATTCAGAGAAGAAAGAGATATCGTTATGGAGTAAAATACAAGTGTTACGCCACATGAAACTTATGGAGCACAGTCATTAGCTTGACTGATGTAATTAGAGGACATGCAGAAAATACATCTCATCACAAACTGGTTCGAGATAATGGACAGATTTACCTGCTGATGGAGATGAAAGTATAGCAAAAATTACTGCATGTGTGGTGAAGTAAATGGCTGTTTAAAAATGTGTAAAATTTATATATCACTTTTTTCTTCCTCACTAATGTCAGATGCAAAGACAATGTTAGGAAAAAAAAAGTAGTTAACTGGGAAAAAAAATTTGGAACAGATTCTTGTCTATGGTAACTTAACCCAGTGACTTCAATAAAATAATGCAAGTTTAGACGAGGTCAAAACCTTGCTTAGCAACACTAAGACAAAAAACTGGAACATAATTGTTTTGTGGCCAAAGCCAACTTGCCTGTGCATTTGAACTCCCTTTCTTCCCCTGCCTCACAACATTTAGGCATTTATTTCTCTCAGGATCCATTATTGAAAACAGTGCATTTCATCACCACTCCCATTCATCTAAATTAAAATGATGCCTCCAGATCTGGAGTAAACTGCACCTTCTGCTTTCAAATACCTCCTACTGTAAGTAAAGAAATACAATGACAGTTTAATATTAATCAAGCTTTGAGGTTTTTTTTCTGTCCACTGAACAACTCTGGAAAATGAATTAGTACCTTGGTTGAACCTTGGGGCAGAACTGCAATTCTCAGTTACTGCTTGCCCCTTATCAGTAGGTACCTTATCAAGGAATGAAACTGAAAGTTGAGACTTACTGCTGGAGATCACGGGTCTATTTGCTGTGTTACATAAGAAGCAGTTATTTTATCTAATAAAAGAAACATATACTGCTTCTATGTACACATCTTCTATTTTCTTATACTGATTATGAACACACTTCTTCTGTTTATCCAGAAGACTATTTATCTTAAAACACAGATTTGTTTTTCTTACATTTAACATGAATCAAATTTGCATTTTTCCCTCTCTCTCCTCTTCCGTATGATAAAAAAACTCAACAAAACAGAACAAACCAACCCCCCCCCTCACCAAATTCCCCCAGGAACTTTTGTAAAGTATTGCAGTATGACATTAAGTCTGTCTCTCTAATGTTTTTTCTCTTACTTACAATTCACAATGGCAATGTTTATACCTCTTCCGACATTACCCTTCCCTTCGCTTATAAGCCTAGAATTGAAATAAACACAGTTTCAGTAGAATGCATCTGTCCAGAAGCTTTGATCCAAAGTTAAATTTACCAATGCTAAGTCACTTTCTGATGTTCATGTTTTCATCAGTTACTTAATTCAAGACTTGGTAGTAAACAAGAGCCAAATCTTGCACATTGTATCAGTCAGTTTCCCTCAACAATGTACAATGGGTCTTTCAAAATGAGCCAGGTCAAGAAAGTACTTCATACAAATGCAGCCAGAAAGAGAAAATGTGGTTTTGTGGAAGTATTCTGTGTAGACCACATCTACACAAAAGATCATTGCAGGGTTTTGAAGTCACTCTGCTTGTCCAGTTTGAAAAGCCATGAAAGAACCTGAATTTCAGAAGGTGTTGACCATTCAACATACTGTAAACTGGCTTTCCTGCACTGTGAAAATTAAAAATCATATTGAAACTAACAGCTGAATGCAGCTTATGTAGAGGATCAATGAAAATAAGATTAGGTATTTTAAAAAAGAAAAAAAAAGGGGGGGGAAGGAGGGGGAAAGAGGTAAATACTGTCAGACATACTTTGAGACTGTCAGACATACTTTGATGTTTATCACAAGAATATGAGACTCCTGGTAGGAGCTTGCTTGCTGCTACTGAACCAAAATGGAACATGCTTCTTCACACTACAAAGCACTTGCTTCGATTTAAACTGGTACTCACAGCTCATCCTCAAAACAAATTTTAGCCAGCTTTCCTCTGCCACCACCACTGAGAATCCGGTAAGCGTAGTTTCCAGGTGAGCAGGGAGACCAGTGATCACACTTCTGCCTTTTTGGGGCTGGGGCTACAACAAAGACGAGAAATTGTTTTCTTGGATGCTTCATAAAAAACTTCTACATGGAAAGAATCACTTAATGTCAACACACTAAGCTCAAACATATATAGTCAGAAGCCAATCCTGTCAGTTTTCCAGTATCATGGCAACTTTATCACAGATTTGCCTGGGCTTCATATTATCATTGACTTTCAAACAGCTGCTGAGACCTAGAGCGAGATTATCTAGTGGAAAATTCCCCATATGGTACGATCTGATTTGAATCTACAGTAATTATTTTGTGCTATTTCATATAACAGGAAAAAGGGCTAGAGGGATGAAGAGTTCTTACCAACAGGTTGAAGTTAATGGTTACCATCCTCATTTTAAGCCTTTTTCACGTGATAACATAATCATAGAATGAGAAAAATGTACACATTAAGCCACCCCAGTCAGATTAGAAGAAAGAAATAATGAGAATATAATCACAAAGATTAGTTAAATGATTCAACACTTTACCATAACCGTAAAACACATGTGACAAAACCAAAGCTGCAGCTTTTGTGCTTATACGCCAGCAAACAAATAAGGTTTTCTGACATTACTATTCAATTAATTATATTTGCATATGATCAAATGTAGGCTGACATTGTGTTTCTTCAAAGACAGCACCTCAGAAATAGTTCAGACTTGCACGAATTAACTTTACACAGCCAACTTCATTCTAACAATAGCACAAACTAAATAATTTGTAAGCTAAGAAGCCATTTGTCATTTAGCATGTAAATACACAACACAGTGTTGTATATTTATATTATAGGTTGTATATTTACATTATATAAGGAAAAAAAAAAAGGAAATATAACTACACACCCTTCAACACTGGTTTCTTTCCAATGTCTTGAAGATTAGCAAGGGATGTTGCTAGGGTCTCTTCAGGTACAAGAAGAGCGAATAAGCTTCCCAAATACCAAGCAGCCAATGATATCACCAGGAGCCCTGCTAATTTCACAAGATCTGCCAAGGGAAGGAAAAAAAGAAAAAAAAAAGAAAACCAGACTTAAGGATGTTTTCATAGCAACACAAAAAATCTTGTATTTTCTCTGGTACTGCTACTCAAACTGTCTATTTTATTTTTGATACACTGTGTGAATCACAGCCTTCGGAGATGTAGCAACAGAGCATTTGTTGCATTCCCAGCTTTGACAGCCCCCTTCGTTTCTAAAACTTGATCTTCAGGCAGAACACTTTTCCCATGACTCCCCTCAATACACACCTGTAACAGCCCAAAGAAACACGACATTCAGCTTAATCCTAACAGGATTCTGACTCTGAAAAGTAAGTACCAGATACTACACATGACTACACAGGTAGTAAGCAGTTACTGCTGATTTTCTGTGATAGGCACTGACTACAGGAATGGTTTCAAATGCTGGACCATACAGGGAAATCCCTTAATCCACCCTTCTGACACACTGGGTAAAAATAGCTGAAGGCAGCCCAAATAATCTTGTTCACAGAAAGAGCTCTGACTGCACTCAAACATGACACGAGTGTCTGATTCACACTCCCTCAGTTATATCACAGTTTCCATGGACTGTATTAGCAGTGCACCTACAGACTATGGAAACACCATGATTCACAATTTTCCCGATGATGAAGAAACGTAAATAAATTCCGTATTGGCTACCTCCTCTTCCTCATAATCAGAAATGCCAACATGCATTCCTGATCTAGAAAACATGCACCACGTAATTTACGCAGCAAAACAAGGAAATATCACACTGCAATTGTCAAACACTGATGTTTTGATGTCGCAAGATACTTCCTGATCTGTAAAGTAACACGTCTTTCAACATAACAGTCCGTCAAAGTGAAGCAGAAAAATTATTTGTTTCATAATCCTGAAAATCAAGTTCAACAGAACCAATGTCCAAAAACATCCAATATGTTCACTCTGCTGACCTGCCAGAACATATTGTGTGTTATTTAGCTTAAATATAGCAGTTTACTCCTTGTAACAGTTTACACTCAATAAGATATTCCTTTCCTTCTTGGAACTGCCTTTACAAATATTAAGATTTCTGCCCTACCCCTTCTCTAGCATAAGGCCAAATTGTTCACTTGTTCTCCTCAAGTCCTGTTTTGCAGGTCCTACCACTTTCCTGTGAATTCTGCCCAATTGATCTGCATCTTTCAGTGCAGAATGGACACACTCATCCAACACAAACATTCTGGAGGCTCTGCTTCTGGTTATTCAAGCCAGAAGGAAGTTTGACTTTTTTCCGTAAGAGCAGACTTTATTGACTCAGGTTCCATTTATAACCCACCATAAAGACCAGATCATTTTTCCGGCAACTCCCTCTCCTGTATTTGTGCACAGGACTATTCCTGCATTCTACTTAACTTTAAAAACAAAACGCCTAACAAAATACTGCAGAAAACACACAGTGGTAAAGCTAACACAGTCCTACCACCTAAACTCTCCATTCTTTATAACAGCAATCAAAGTAGCAAGAGGCCCTCTCTGACCCGATCATCCTTCACAAATGAAGCACAGCTGTACTCCAGGCTTGAAACTCAGTGAGGAAGTGTGCAGATCATTATGAATATTGAAGGTTCTTCTGTAAATAAGCCCAGTTTCTCATTTTCTGCATCAGAAAGGAAAACAAAAAGAAAGAAAGAAAAAGAGAGGACAAGAGTGAACCTTTTCTAAGATACTGATCTGAGCTCTTAAAATGTTCTGTGTCACTGTATTTAGAAGTCGTGTGAGCATTTGTATGACTGTAAGGAAGGTACTGTGAGAAACTTACTGTATCTTCATCAAAGGGTTAAGAGTGAGAAAGTAATATAATGAATATTCAGAGATACAACAAATTTCCCAATTATTACCTCAGTCTAAAAGAAATCTTTCTGACTTTACCACTAGTAGTGGTACTAACCTGTACTAAAATAACACTGAAAATTACTCCATTTCATTCATGCAGTAAATGCAAATATAAACCCTGACAAAGTTCACGTGCACAAAGGAAGCTGCAGGAACCAAGCAGAATGAAACTTACTCGCTTTTTCCACTTTTGAATATTAAAAAAATTGGTGAGATTTATACACAAAATATATTTAATTTATAAAGGAGAACAATTCACACATTTCAAAGATAAAACTTGGGAAGAATTAAGTGAAAACTACAAGAAGTTTATTTAAAGATTTCAGTAATTATTTTTTCAAGGAGTAGGGTGTATTGTAAAGTCAGGTTCTGGTTTGCTTTTCCTGTTGTTGGCTTAGCAGATTTATCTTTGCAATGATTTTGCACTGGTTTTCATCAAAACTATGGACCAACTCTTGCAAAATAGGCTCAATGGCGCAGCATTTTACCTAAGTAGAAGAAAAAGTACAGAATGTCTAACTTTCGTTACTATATTCCGTATTTTACTAAACCCACAAGTTTCTTAAATGTTTCTAAAATATACCCTTTAAGGTTTAAAGAATACATTTACCAACTCTCCTGCGCAGTTTGTACTTAGTTCTCAGAGCTGTCACAGAGTATTTTCACTGTCACCCAACTTCTGTTTTTGCTTTACGGATTCAGAAGGCACTGAGGGACTGCACTGACCCTATCTGCTGAGTCGCCCTGGACCTCTTAGATTTCCTGAGGTTGACATATCCTGCACATGTATAGTCTTCTTTGAATAACTGCGTAGACACGCATAAAACCCTACACAACAGCAGCTAAGCTGTAGGCTTGGAGAAATTTAAGGTAGTTAAGAGAGCTTAAGATTTGCTATCCACAACAGGTAGGAGTTATCAAACGCAAAGTCCGGTCTACATTCACGAAAGCCAGACTGTGCTTTTGCTGATTTTAGAGGGGGTGACACCTCAGCCCACTCCTCGGCTCAGCGACAAAGAGCAGCATGGGGCCGGCGTGCCGCAGAGGCTCAGACAGGTAGCACAAACCTCCCTCCCTCGGTTTTTGCCAGGCAGAGGTACTCAGCCAGAGTCGCTCAGCGATACTCACGGTGCCGGGCAGAGAAAAGCATGGAGGTAGAAACTGTGGGGACAGGCTGGATGGTGGGGTGGCAAGAGGCGCAAGACAGCAAGAGCAGAGACGGAGGAGCAGTCCCACCTCACAGCAACTCCCAATCTCCTTTCTCCCTCAGGTGCTCATTTGCCCCTTGGCAGCAACTGAAGTACTAAACATTGGCACAAGATTTCTTTTTTTTTTTTTTTGTGCTTAGCTGACTTGAATGGTGCCACACCTCGCTAACGCACACCCACCCGTACGCAGCAGGGCTTTAACAGGGAAAAACAACAACAACAAGAAGAAGATTTAGAATTTAAGCCTCGAGTTGAAACTATTCCAACCTAAAAAGTGTCCATCCGTTTTCAGATGTTGGCCAGGGGCCCAGCAGCGAGGACAAACACCGGTCCCGCGGCCCCGGCTCGCCTCAGAGGACGCCGTCGGGCACCACGCCGTCGGGCACAGACCTCCCGCCCCCTCCCCGCTGCAAGAGGGGTCTCGGCTCTCCCAGCCGGGAGGCACCTCCGAGGCTCCCACCTGACGAGGGCGCAAGGCCGGAACACCGGGCAGCGGCACCGACGCTCTCCGCGCCTCCCTCATCAAGTCGGGAGACGGGGCGAGCCTTCCCCCCACCGCGGGGCGGCTATTACTCACATTGCCGGTTCAGCCACATAATTCAGGACGGGGCCGGGATGACCGACCCTCCTCCTCGT